CACGGGGATCTGTCAGTTTGTTGAACAATTCCTCAAGTGATGGCAAAACAGACGTGATGAGTGTTGGCTGACTGCCAAGAGCTCGCAGATCGCTTCGTATTCTGAGAGTATCGTCCCTTTTCATCAAACTTACCGTTGAAAAATAGCATTCGGAATAATCAACGGGTTAGATTGAAATTGATGCTACCATTCGTTGACAAATATATGAAACAGCCTGACTTTGCGCTAGTGCCATAAATCAGGGTTGGGTAATGGCGAATGACTTTGCATTCAGCTTCGAGCTTGTGGACACTGAATCCCTCAATGACACTGGGATTCCTATTAACAAAATGGGCTCGATTCGACTAAATTGATTCATGAGAGTAGATACTCAAGGTGCGAGTGGACAGCAAGATTACCTTACTATTCATGAGTGAGATAAAGCGAATGCGGGAAGCCCTAGGAACGGAGATTAATACACAGGAAATCACGTGAGATATTCAAGAGAAAGACGATGCTAACTTTCTTTTTATTAGAATTGAATAATGTGGGCTAGGTGAAGCAAATTGTTTTCAATCATTGCAGTATATTCTGGCAAAAACATTTCAATTTCAATGACGACTATGTATTCTACGCTGTGAGGAATCAGCTGAATTTTGAAGAGATTTGAAGGAAGAAAATTAGGTAGCAGAAATCAGGATTAGGTAATGTTATGGCGACTTGTTTTGTCGAAAACTCTCAATTTTACATCACTTGCATCGGAACCTATGAGGACTAAGACTGAGCAATTCAAAGCAATTCGCTATATAGTGCTGTTTCACGTTTTCTCGATCAAATCTATAATTAGACTTAAAATGGAGTTATGAGATGGCAGGTGAGCTGCACGCAGCATTCTGGAAGTTAAGTCTGTGGGTACGTGCGCCCCATGAGTGGCTTCGCTTCAATTCGATTTCGATTTCCTCGGGATTATTTTCAATGATTGCCGCCTACCGCAGTAACTGAAAACATCTACAATGCCACATTTGCACCATGAACTTAGATGCGGATAAACAGTGAACATACTCAGTGATTTCCGGTTGAACCAACGAAAATGTTTTTATTACGTGCGCTTATGGGAGGCAAGATTGCAGTGTCTAGGCGCACGTGGAAACGAATTTTGTCATCACTGACATAAAGGTTTTTATCCCGATCAGACTGTGAGAAGACCTGACGAATAAAGGAGAGTCGAATATGTACTACTGTGCACTAACATTTTTTTCTGGAAAATGATTTGGATAATTCACTGTGAAAATGTTTGCTCCATTTCCCCTCAGAGACTGGTATCGCGTTATTGTTGTGGCCAATTTGCAGTGGTAGAATATGGTTTCGCCTACATTTTGAGAATAGCTTTTCATCATATGCAAGCAGACTATAAGTTTCGTTGTTTGAAAGTCTCACCACTACGAGAAGGTAATGGTACATCCAAAGATATGTAGTTCGGTGCGAACACCGACGTGTAAAAGCACAACATATGCTCACCGGACACTCGTGTGCAGAATTTTGAACAAAACCTGTGTATGTGTGTATACATGTAGTTGTATATGTACATGTGGTCATAGAAGGACAATTACCTAGAAATATCTATGGATACGCGTGCATATTCATGTATGTGTATATATATTTTTCTAATCCAGTGTTATGAATCTAAATTTCATTTAGTGATAACAACATGCTAACCCTGAGTGAGTGTCCAACAGACCATTAAAATGAACTATGTGAGGGACATTATGGTGGCAGTCCATTGCATGTATTGTTCGCACATGCTCGAATTGCTTGATAACTCAAAGGGTTATCTCTCATTGACAAAGGAAGTTATCGCGTTTTTTTACTCTTATTTCCGAATGCACTTTACCGATAAGCATAGAATGTATTCCTCAACGAGGATTTGAAATGGATCGTCCGATATTTGAAATTATTTATCTGATCATAGTTTGTAACAGGTAATATTACACCGTGTTCTTCCAGCTGACCTATGGTACCGCATGTTCCGAGTGGTGTAAACCGAGGCCTCCAATGAATAAAGCTTTATTCACGATAATAATGTTCCATGTATTCTTGAGAAAAAAAACGTCTACTGATATTATTTTGAGAAGATTGTCAAAATTTGTAATTTGATTACCCAGTAAACCCACGTATTCTTGCCTTACCTTGTTGCTTCAGATTACTCGGGTGAGTTTCTTTCCTTCGATCCCTAAGAAAGTCAATTTCAGTTCCATAAGTCCGTTCGACAAGCTTTTTATCCCTCTTTTGCTTGAATTTCCTGGATATTTGGGATATATTTTATGTTATTTCATATTACGTAACTGAAAACATCTACAATGCCACATTTGCACCATGAACTTAGATGCGGATAAACAGTGAACATACACAGTGATTTCCGGTTGAACCAACGAAAATGTTTCTATTACGTGCGCTTATCCTAACAAGAAAGATTCAGCTTCCAAGCGCATATTGAATCGTCGTGAAACGTATTATTCATGGTTCACGGATGATTGAACAATGTATATTCTGTCGACCCCTTGGTAACGCTAGTGCTTTCACGTGCTTAACCGAGCATATTTTTTTTCTTCCAATCATTAGTTCTAGCGGAAATTTTGGACTATTTCCTTCTAGTTAATCACATATGTGTAACTTCTGAGAATTCGATTTACCCATTACAAGAACAGATTTCCTAGGCTTTTCTTTAGTAACGCTTTCAGACTGGTTTCCCCTAATTCCAGCGATGAGACATTGTCAGTGACTGGTAATATATGTACCAAGGAAATGTGATTCACTTAGCAGGGCAAATATGACACCCAAAGGATCGGTCGTGTGAGGGAGGATGTTCCATTCAAGTCTACGTTGGACACTGACGGCTGCTGATCACTATTCTCAAATTGCTCGGCTTCGTCCAGATGAAGACGAAGATGCTCCTCAATGGTATGGTTTTCCTATCCGGGTCTAAGCACTATTCGGAAAATGTTACTGAGGAGTTTTAAGTGCAGTCGATGAGTGAATTGTCCGTGATTAGTGGTATGCCTAGCGAAGGTCCAGTTCTTAAGCCTTCTTGATCGGTCCGAAGGGGGAATGACTGATCGAACATGAACGAGTTCCTGTTTTTATTAATCACAATGGAACGTAAGGGCATTATCTCCCTTGTGCAACATACAGCTTCTGTTTTCTGTTAGTTTTCTGTAAGCATAGACAATGAAGCTTTCTCTCGGATTTTACCAATAATTTTGTTGATAGGTTTTCTTCGTTGCTCGAGTGGTTGTTTTGTGTCTGTAGGTGATCACTGAACCTGGCGCTCAAGTTCCTTGAAGCCACACACCGGGCTTTGCAGCCGTAATTCCAGAAGCAAAAATAATCCTAGTGTTTCATACAGTAAAAGAACGATAAATTTCGCACAAGTGTGACCATACTGATGAGTCACTGATTCGATCGGGAACGGATCAGGCATCCTATTATCACATTGGATTTATGGAGAAATCAGCACCATGGGATCACATGCAGAAATAAGTCGAGTAAAAGACCTGTGAACCATTTTGATGCTCACGATAACAAGCATGATAAAGCCCCTCCAATCATCCGTCCCCAAATTAACGGCAAATATTCTTCTCTGATAATTGTTATATATATATATATATGCTCGTAGGTGGATGCACGCTCACTGGTTGATAACGTTTTCGTTGTCGGGTGCATTTGCCGTCGGATGACGCATGAAACAATGAATCTTGAATTGACCCAATACGGTATAAATAATGCATAGCAAAATTCAACTCCGTATTCATCATGAATTCAAACAAAAAGTAGACAATCATCACAGGCTGAAAACTACAACTCAAGGATGTGATCATGCATGCATCATTTCAAGCGCATTTCAGTCGTGCGACAAACATCTATGAAAAAACATATCGTATCAGCTTGGAGCAATTGCAGTTGAGACTTCCACAAGTTTGGCGTTTCGTTGCCATAGGTTTGCAGAACACCTTCTGATACAGAAACTATGACAAAATAGAACAACAGAAAAACGTTGGAAATCGAGAGCTTACTTTCTAGCTCTAGGTGCAGATATATCTCCGAACATAATTCTGATGTCCACGCTGATTGGACAAAGTGGATAGAAGACACACATTCACAGTCAATGAAAACATTTTGGTGAAGTAGTCATCCTAGCTTTTTATTGAAAATCGAACCCATATTTGGCCATATCATTTCATGAATTGATGGACCGGCAAATCGATCGTCATTTGATACGGAGATCGAACAACGTTGGCGGTCATGAAAAAAGGGCTCATAGCCGGCTGGCCGTATATCGGTTTCATTCAATCGAGATTAGTCCACTACAGTATATCACAGAGTTGTAGTTCAAATGCGGTCTTATCAACACTATTGAGTTCGAATCAAATGAGTATCATTATATTGAATCAATAACAATTATATACTGGCGAAAATGCATGTTTCAACGAGAATAAAGAACCACAATATTCCAGCGGGAATCATTAGGCAAACAGGAGAACGACTTTATTCATTGTTTTGACACAATTCATCAAGACGCGTATATCCACGAGAGCTCTGTGCAGAGTGTGAAAGTACCGAAATGATGAACCGATTTGCGAGCAAACCAGTGGTCAGTATCAAAATATTTGTTTGCGAAATTATCCAGGGTACATTAGACATTTCATTTGGCATTACTGATAAGGGTGTTCATGACCACTGACGTTTCCGACCAATAAATGCCACCCATATAACCGATAGAACGGTAATCCGTCTCGTAAACCCACTCCTACATGACATCAATAGGACAGAAATACGTTCCACTGCAGTTTGTCAATGTGCCCCATCCAAGTGTAGATAGTTTGGATTAGAAAACGCTGAATTTCAGTAAGTGTTTACTTGTGGAATCATGGTAAGCTGAGATGAGAACAACAACGTGCTCGGCATTCGGTGGTGTTTGGAGATTGCATCTGCTGAATCCGCTTTGGACTCATGAGAGCGGGCGATCAAAAGAGGGCAGTCCCGGTGATAAGTGGTAGAATCCAGCCAGTTGCGTGAACCAGAAGTCGCATTGAACCACCTGCGGACAAACAGAATTTACCGAAACAAATAACCGTGAGTAACGTTGCATTCTAATTTGGTGACAACAAGCGAAATGTCCGGAGGAATTCATAGCATTGAGAACACCGAGGAAACACAATGAGGAACTCACCAGTGGTAGATGCTCCTGTTAAGGAAACAATACAAAAATAGATGTGCAAATATGCTTCAGGAATTTGGCAATATCATGTGTCGTGGGCATTTTAAATGCACTCTGACAATGATGATTTAAAAGAGCACTGGTAGAAAACAGTGAACTCACTTTGTGTGGACACTGTGGATGCGGGGGTGGATATAGTGCCGGGAACTGATGCAGCACCCGTGCTGCCTGTGCCTATTTCGTTTAGGAGAGTGGATAAAAAATAGATAGTACACATCGGTGGACGAGAGTGTTCGAACAATTGGAATGCTGATTAGTTGCATATATTGTATTATAGAGAAATAGAGGCATAGGTGAACAATATGAGCTTACTTTGTGGAGAGGTTTGGGTACTAGACTCCGAAGTTATTGTGGTCACCGTTGATTGTTCTGCATTGGCTTCGGTCTCCTGCGTATCTGTTTAATTGTCAAAAATGGAGGTATGCTCGCGTAATCTTGTGCCTTTCATACTGACATTCATCTCGGACATTTCACCCTCGTGTGGTACAATATTTCTAGTTAACCACTCATGTCCACAGAAAATGATATCATCCTAATCAATTTAAATATGATTGAAAGCATCAGGAATCATTTGATGATATCGTACGAAATTAAACGAAAGTGAAGAGGATAGCATTATCTATGATATTTTTACATTTGCACACACCGCGTCAGTTTGAATCAGTGCGAGGAAATTCTGGGCTATATTGTTGTCTAACTGGTTTGCAGTGCAGCTCTATTGTCCACGCTATTCTTACGACCCCTCACTGTTTGCCTTCTGTACTTGACAGTAATTTACTCCGACAGCTCAGCTCAAAATATTATCATTTCCCATGTTCTTCGGTTTCTTCAGATTATTTTTGCTGTGTCACCTGAATCGGGATTTTTGTATCCCATGATGTGCAAAGTTTATTTTGCATCAGAAAATGTACGCGTCGTAAAGCACTTGCATTTCAGACAGAACTCAATATTATCACGTCATCCAAATCACATCAGCACTCACTCATTCCGCGCAAACAGATGACCACCAGTAATAATATGGTGACAGTTCTCATATTCACTCTGTTACCTTAATCGGTTTGTATTTATTGACCTTGATGAAGCAATGCAGTCTTCTGTTCTTCATCGTTTGCTTATATATCCTTCAAATCCGTTGACTGCAAACACCCACTTGACTTTCCAAAATTGGCAATTACTTCGGAGATGTCAGCATCAAGCTTCTCAATCGGAACCGTCATTTTCATTCCACACAGTGAGCCAAATATGCCATCACTTTGGTCACTACCATTGCATCACCCTGACACCAGAATAAGGTTTGCCACTGATAGAAACGTGTTACATTTGTTGATATCTAAAAACGAGTTTTGTTATTCGTTCATTGGATTATACTATTGATAGTAAGTTACATTCTGATTCTGATGAAATCTTCAGCAAGCTGTCTAGTGCTGTAGTGAGTTCTTCTGATGGCTGTCGCTAATGGCTTAGTGAAATTGTAAACAACAACGTGGATCACATGAACTAGTCCATAAGAAAGCCTTCTGAATTTGTAATCTATCGTTCGAACCGTGGAGAATCACGTGTTCAGATATTTTGGCAATTCTTATTCTTGATTTCAAACACCAGTGAGGTAAGTTTGCATTTGAAATAGAAATTGAATTTTACGTTGCGCTCGGGAAACTATATTTAGCTGTACTATGGCAGAGTGATCTATTGTCAAAGCATGGGTTACCCAAATAATCCGCAGTTGACACTGGAAAAGAATACGATATTCGTCCTTGTATGTTCACAGTATCACTTATCGTATTACAATAACTGGAATATTTCGAAGGTCTGTTGGATTTTCACAGTATAAGTAATTTACACTGCTGCGTCACAAAACCCTAATAAATGAGGTCAGGTAAACTTTGTGGTCTGATGCAATGAGGTGAATCGCAGTAACAATATCATCTATCTTTTCTCATGAGTGAGATCAACAGCCACCATAATTTACGTCTATAGGAAGCAGAATCCCCTGTGATGCCACGCGATCTCTGGACCGTTGAATTGAAACCACATTGGAATAGATATGGATACGACAACGAAGAACAAGGGTTTGATCCAATATTTTCGAGAAGAGAGGTTGTATAATGACAATGAATACAAACGGGACAGACATCTTTGCTGAAGAGGTGCATTTAAGTGCAGCCTGCCAGCCAGTACCGATGGGTTTTATGGTCGAGAGAGAATGATTTGATATACCTGAGCGAATGATTGAATTAGAGTGAAAATCCCATATTTCTTTTGAGGGAAAATATTTCTGACCGCATATAGCGGCGTAAAGTGATCATAGGGAATAAATGTGCCTTATTCGATGGGGTGCCGGTTACCGCACAAGTGTAGCGCAAGCAGTCAAAGGACGACGGTATAGTTATCTCAGTTGAAGTACCTTCGCTTGACTTCTCATATGAATCCATTTATTAAATTCACCTTTTGAATTGCATAAAAACCGTTCATGAAGATCGTAGAATGGTTGACTGTGGCAGATCTTATATGTGGCAATGAAGCATACACTGGGATATATGATGGCTGAGCCCCAGAATTCTCCCAATCAAGAAGTTGCTGTGGAAAAATATATCAGGTTTCCGAACATGTCTGTGAATAACTTCAGTCACGTATAAGTGGATGTAACTGAACAAGTTGTAGTCAGCGTCTTCTACTGATATTCGTGCTCAAATCGATGAGCAAGTTTATGCCCAGAACCTCAATAAATGATGCATTTTATGACTGAATATCGGCATCCCTACCCGAACGGATCTATACACAAATAATCTCATTTCTTTCCTATTTGATGACGGATTCTTCTTATATCTTCATTATACGGGTACGAAAATAAGTCAATTGGAGAATTGTCATGAAATCAGGATTGATATCCGAACTGGAATGACTAATTAAATTCAAACTCATGAAATTTTCAAGAATTGGGATTATTGGTTGATTGTTGTATTTGCCGCAAATTCCAATGAACTTTGTGTGCCAGTTATTAGGTGTGATTTGGATTCACCTGATTTACGAAAACGATCATGAGACCCTTATTATCGATTCATGTAAAAACATTTACTTAATCGAGCAACCCTTTAGATAAGCGCCCCTTACGCTGTTTGAACAAAACAAAACATATATCCCGATTACGAACTGCCAATAAATTGCTTTCTGTTTGGTTCTCATCTTTATTGATGCAGAGCCCTTCAGTTTCCTTTGATCTGAAATGATGAAGCACAGTGACAGTTGATGTTGAATTTGTTTCCAGTTTGGTAAAAAATCATCAATATCTGTCTTGAACGTTTACGAAAAGGAAAGGAATATGATCTGTATTGGAATAAATTCGGTTCGAAGGTAGACTTGAAAGTGAAATTAATAACAGTGCTTCCCACACTCGTATAAATTCAGTAGACATGCTTGAGTCACAAACCAAAGTAGAACAAAAAACGGTGGCCAAACGAACACATCCGCCTTCTTAACATGCATCCTCAAAATCGATTCCTCTATTTTCGATTATAATCAACCTTGAGCCCTATATGAGTGTTCAAATGACACCACATATATATATATATATATATATATATATATATATATATATATATATATATATATATATATATATATATATATAAGAAACTAACGGAGTGGGAATTGACCCTCTTCATAGAAAGACCAAAAAATGAACCAACACTGTGATTTATCTTAGTTATTCATGTCTGAGTCACCGCTAACCCGAAGAAGAAGAACGGGGCCGTATGTGCTACCGCTCATATTGAGTGTTAGTAGTATACATATATGTGTGGAGAAAATTCCCTCGGAAGGATACGACTGGTTTCGCGGTTGTTCCTGCTCATCATGTATGTGTACCCGGCACTATTCTGCCCTCTCATCTTCATACTTTTACACTCGGATATATATACACTCGGTTACATACCACTCACCGACAATATATATATACACGAGTAAAATCGACACAGCAACTAAGTAATTGTCTGGATGTACTGAAACAGCGATAATATAAACGCTTTCGATCAATCCTCTCTCATTTTCATTACATTTGGTTCGATTGGTTTGTCAATGTAGGTCCGTTTCCGGAATTTCGTCGTATATTCAGAGAAGAGGAATTATTGTGTCACAGCAATTGCCTGATTCCTCCCAGCCGTATTTTGCTCAGTCTCCCTCATGAAATTACGCACATTTAGTCATGGACTAATGGGATGTACACTATTTGCAGTTCAATGCTAATTGGTCCGATTGCTTGCTGTTAGTTTTGTCTGTCTATACCCAATGAACAATTAGAAGTTGGTGATATAGCACGAAGCGCGCCACTGGTCATAATAAGAATTGTTTCTTCTGATCCGACGTTGGTCAGTCAACATATTTTTGTTGATCTGAAATGGTCAACTAAACTTAACTACAGCGAGTTGAGTTCAATGTATCCGAAATGATTCAAAGAGACCGGTACCAGTCCAGATTTAAGTCAACTTATCCGATTCCTAATTTTGTTTATATGAACTCAACTAAACCAAACAAAGCGGAAGAGAACTGAACTGGGGTGAATAGAGGAGAACTCGTATTGTTGACACTGGAAGTAACTAATCTAGTGTCCAATCCAAAGCAGGCCTGATATGAATGAAATAGGTATAATCAGGTACAATTTGTCTATTTTATTCACGAAAGCGAACGTTTACTGATGCACGTACAACTCCGGCCAATTTCAATATGCCTTTGTTTGTCCATGGATCTGGTCAGTTTGGTGGTCAATTAAAAACTTAACACACGCGGGAATAGACTGATACTAATTGCATATATTTTATCTACGCTGTCAAGAAAACAGGCTCCGGCAGCATGAGCGCGTCATCTGAGACCAGAACTAAATCCACAACAACATCCACAATACCCACAAAACGTGAGATCGCTTATTACACCAATGTTGGGATATATATCTGTCAAATCTATCCACATGTATTCGTCCGTGTATCGTCAGAAATACTTGAAGAATTATGTAAGCTCATATTGTTCACCTATGCCTCTATTTCTCTATAATACAATATATGCAACTAATCAGCATTCCAATTGTTCGAACACTCTCGTCCACCGATGTGTACTATCTATTTTTTATCCACTCTCCTAAACGAAATAGGCACAGGCAGCACGGGTGCTGCATCAGTTCCCGGCACTATATCCACCCCCGCATCCACAGTGTCCACACAAAGTGAG